GAGCCAACCCATGTCTTTATGGCAGTATCAACGTTTAGCAGTGAACTAAAATAGGCTGAAATGATGATGATGAAAATCTACTCCAAAAAGTAATAAGAAATAGTTGCAGCTGGTTTCAAATAGCGGAAGATCTTACGGTGGTAGGCCCACGCATCAGCCTCGGCTGTTGCACGGATGGGCAGGCTCGTCTGGATAAGTACCACGACCTCACAGAAGAACGGCGTAAAGTGGAAGAACAATACTTTCGCGTTTCGTCTGGTGAATGAGGTGGCCGGAGTCCAAATTTTAAAACGTTGTCAACGCATCTGGAACCCTCGGGTGTAACAGATGTCAAGGGCGGCGGCATTCACTTTTCATCAGGTGAACAGTCTGCTCGCTTGGCAACTTTTCACATGAAAAAAAAATATCAGGTCATGGGATTTTGTATCCTCAGCAAGAACCAACCATCTCCAATCTGCCCAACAGTGGGTAGACAGAGAATGATGATGATAAAACTGGATTGAGAAAGGTTGCGGTTGTGCCATCTATCGTCCGGGGCGAGCCAACTTAGTATTCTTATCCTTTAAACGAGCAATTCTTGTATATATATATATAATGGGAATCTCGGAAACGGCTCCAGCGATTTTCATGAAATTTAGTATGTGCGTAGATTGGGGGGCGAAAAATCGATCTAGCTAAGTTTCATTTTTAGAAAATGTCATTTTATCGCTGTTTTCAGGGAATGAAAAATATAATTCGAATATGACGGTAAATTTCGCCGAGAAAATGTCATAGCTCGGTCGGTAATCAGGCGGCCCCAAAACAGACGGCCGTGGTTCGCATCACGATCATTTACACATCTATTTTTTTACTTTTTTTTTCGATTCCAGATCATTGTTTTCTATATTTTTAATTTTTTTGTCGATTTGTTATTTTGTTATTTTTTTCCCTTTTTTTTAAAGTTCTTTCTTTTGTAAAAAAGATCAGTTCATATTTTCTTATTATTACGTCGGTAAGATCGAAAAACATTATGCATATTTCATTACTCAGTAATTTGTATCTAAATGTAATTTCCAAAATACAGGATTTACCAAAAAAAAAAAACAAACCGAGCAAAGCGGGTACTAATAACAAAGTGTTACAATATAGATGAACATATAAGTTTATTTTCTCGTTACCGGTTCAGACGCAACGTGTTACGATGTTAACAGCTGTTCTGTTATAGTTGACAGCGACATATTAAAGTTTATATACGTACATATAGCGTTAAGATCACACACAGGTGCAGCACCCAATGGCAAACAAACACGCGTGCTCAAGATCACGTTTTGAAATTCGTCTTGGCAAATATTTTTTGAAACCGAAAACCGAAGGAATTGGTTGTCATCATATTTATAATGTACCATTAGGTAATACTCGTATATAATTATAGAGGAATAAACATCTGATCATGATCTTAACATGATCATGACTATTAAAATATTGACTAGCGAACAATCTAGTCTAAATTGACCTCAGGTTTTACTTACTCTTAGAAAATAGTGGATGAATTGATTCAGGCGACAAATCATAATAATAAAATTTGTTTGTTATATGTTCGTATCGTTTAATGATTTTTAGTAATTGACATTTTTGATCGCGCATTTTCATATTTTCGACCATAATTTCGACCACTGGGCGGCCACTAGTGTAATTTACGTCCTTCTGTTATTCAATATCTTTCAACAAATTTATACTGTGAGTTACATACGTAAATATTTTCATAATACAGATAAAGCGAACCGCTGGCGGATTTATAATGTGCGAGATAATACGATTTTAAATTATAATTTCCTAAAAATTCTCGATAGTTTTGCTTTTCAAATATAATAAAATTAACTTTTTTTAAATGTAAGAAAATGGCACGCGAGCTGGCTATTTACTTGATTTTAAATGATAACGGCCGCTCATTGGCATTTACAACTCCCACAGGGTTTTATTATGTATTTTTATTTTATTCATGTATTTATTTGCAAGAATAAGGTAATACATAATGGTCTTAAATATAATACAAAAGTTCACATATTCTGCCTCTTTGATAGGCGTGCAAATATTAATTAGTTTTATTTCTATTTAGACATTACTATCTAATATTTAATAAAAACTAAAAAATATAAAATAGATAAATGTTATATAAATTGTCAAACAAATGTCAAAGAGAAAAAACAAAAGAATACATGTCATTGTCAAATTGCTATATATGTCACCTATAATTACATTAATTGAATAATCATTTTACAACAAAATGTGAAAATGAAAATGACATGAAATACTCAGAAAAACTATAAAAACAGTTGCTGAGTAGCCATTCGATCAACTTAAACGTTTAAACGTTTGAGTTGTTCATTTTTTATTGAGTCTGGCAGATGATTGTACACACGGATTGCCATGTAGAAAGCATTCCAGTTAAAGAAGGAATTGCCTGATTTAAGATTAATTTATTTTTGTTCCTAGAATTCCTCTGTTTTATAAATCATTTTAAATTTTGTCTAACAACTAAACGGATATCCCTCTCATACACGGTAAGATGCCCAAAAATACTGCAGATTGCACCTTTTCTGTCGATTTATTTTAAAATTCAATGTTAATGTGTATATTTTTTTGGATTTGTATGTCGAAAATTGTATTATTTTTGGTTACATATTAAAATCGAACCATTTAACTACGTCACGAATAGTCATTGATTTGATTACTAAAATTTTTTACGTCATTAGCTTTTATTACTAGGGTTGTGTCATCGGCAAAAAGAATGCATTTTTCTTTCATAGCTTGGAGGTCATTGACATAAATATTAAAAATAAAAGGGGGCCTAAAATACCTTGCGGAACACCATATTTAATAATTTTATAGTCTGATCTATATGATGATTTTTGTAGTTGTTTGTTTTTAAGGTTACAAATGCTTTGCCACGTTTTAATAAAGTGGGCCCCTGTAACTTCCCTCACTAGACGAAACGCAGAAGTATAAATTTTCTAATTCACGCCCGTCTTCTGTTAGGGTCGTGGCACTTCCTCGGACGGATCAGCCCATTCATGCAACAACGAAGACTGATGCTTGTCCGTACCGCAGTTAAGAATTTTGTCTATAGTTTATAGTTAAATATTTGTAAGTAAAAAAACGGCTAATTGTGAGTAGGACTCGCGCACGAAGGGTTCCGTAGCATCATCTATAAAAACGGCATAAAAAAATCATGTCTGTTGTATCGGAGCCCTACTTAAATACTTTTTTATTCTGATTTTTAGTATTTGTTGCGGCATTTGTTTTAGTATAGCGGCAACAGAAATACATAATCTATGGAAATTTCAACTGTCTAACTATCACGGTTCATAAGATACAGCCTGGTGACAGATAGACAGACAGACAGCGGAGTCTTAGTAATATGGTCCTGTTTTACCCTTTGGGTTACGGAACCCTAAAAATAGTGTCGCAATACTAAAACATTTCATTTTCACAATGCCTTTATTCAACTTTGATAGTATCTTAGACTACGCTCATAACAACCTAGTTTGGTTCAATTAGGCCCATGAATCCCATTATCATAATTCCATTAAATGTTACAGCATTAAGCTTTCGATTTAGATTCCAGGTCCATTGATTTCAACGGTCTGGCACATCGTACAGTTAAGTGGCTGTGCACAAAAGAATCCATCTATTTGGCTTCGTGAACGGCGCAAAAGCTTTTATTAAAGATATCACCTGGAATTGGAAATTGGGGTATCAATGCACACAGGTCATTATTTTCACATCAGGATCAGACTTTGCGAGAAAGAAAGGTCTGTCAGACTTATCTTTTTTCTAATTTAAATTCGATTGTGTATGACTTTCTGCCTAGATTACTCATGAAAAGTACACGGATTACCGAACCTTTAGGAAGGAATCTATACATATAATGATTGAGGTCTGATGTGTGCATCACCGAAAAAGTACTAGAAGTTTGAATTGATTCTTCTATGTTTTATTTCTTCTACTCTTAACCTTTATCTACAACATTACACCTCTTCCACCTTTGCCTCAATTCTATTCTTAATATGTATTTTACTGTATAACTTGCATTATTTATATGTTTTTGCTTCCGATCTTTATTATGTCTATTTTCCTATGCGCGTAAAATACATTGATAATATAATAAGCAATGCAGACGAAGTCGCGGGTATCAGATAGTTGTTAAATAAAACTAATTACGGGACACGCCTCGGGTCAATCTCATGACCATGATCGAAACTTCGGGAATATAAATCAAAATTAAACTGGATAAAATCTGGAAAATAGTTAAATTTCGCAGAGTGTAATATTCCCGTAAATATCAGAAATCGTTATAGGATTTCAATCTGATCTAAAAGTTTGCTAAAACGTACGTTCGCCAATTTGTTAAACAGGTCGTAAAAATTTATACATTTGAATTCAATCCACTGACTTATCGTGTCCATTTAATCTAAAATGTTTATATAAATATAGATGCGTTGTGCGCACAATTTTGCTTTACATTTATGCAGATAAACAGTATAGGCAAAAGAAGAATTTTATTCTTTTCTTTCTATTAATAGGATAAATAATGTGTCTTGCTTCGCCTTTAATATAATTGTATTCACGATAGTCTACGCTGTTTTCAGTGCAATGATGTTACCGTCTATAGATTAATTGCAACAAATATAATAAAAAAAACTGAACTGCGGTTCGTTCCTTTTCCTATTGACGCCAAAAATCCAGCATTTTTATTTTTTTTATAATTTTAATATTGCCCAGTGACACTCAAGGAGAATCTAAAGAGATGTTTAGCCATTCAAATTATAAACAGTTAGAATGGAACATACGGATACCCTCCTTACAAAATTAACTAAATACACTATCAGATCTGTACAAATGTGCCGGAAGTCGATGGGTGCAGGATCAGGATCGTACTTGGTGTTAGTCGATGAAGGAGGCAGTGGACTCAAACTGGCTGAAATGATGATGATGATCACTATCAGAAGTAGAATGGCTTACCCCTTTTCTCCTGGTCCCAGTTTATTGTTCTCGATGACGGCCGTCGCCCTCAGCCTGTTGTCGGGCTGCTCTCCTAGCAACTTCTCGCACCGACCGTTGCTCAGGTGCTCCCTCGCAACACTCAACGCGTCACTTTTAACGGCGTCCTTGTCACTGCCCACTTCACTCTCAACTCTCACTTCGCACTCCACTGTCACGTTCAACTTTTCACTGGAATCCTTTTCGTGCTTCTCCGGCTCCTCTCTCTTCTCTCTCTCGCTCTCCTCAGTCTCTTTCTTGCCGTCCGCGATTCCGTTCGCTATCACCGGTGCCGGCTTCGCTTGGAGCGACTTCGGTTGCGATTTGGGCGAGGAGATGGTCGGTTTGCTCTCTATTGCGCCATTCTCGTTGATGGACGTGACGTAGACGGCGGAGTTTGCAATGTAACCGTTTATCTCTTGCCGGTTCTCTGGCTGTGTACGTTTCTTTCGATTTAACTGGAAAAAGGAAAAGTAACCATTAAACATTGACTCGCAGGTGAATCGTAATTTTGGTCCCTACAAGAGAACGAGTATCAGCAGTATAGACGGATAGATAAATAATTATTTGTAATCAGCAAATTATCTATTTTGTATATTAAATACAACATTTTTTTGATAATGATTTCTATTATTCAACATTTTTTATTGAAACTCCAATAATAAATAAAATCAACCTGTGTAAGATTACGTGATGTACATCGGCCAGAAGTTGAATTTTGACCATAATCATTATTGAAATCCGCAGCAACAACGTTCAATATCGCATGTTTGAAACTCGAAACATGTAAATAATAATAAGGTTGACACAATGTCCATAAATTCAAAGCCAATTGCTGGTTACAGTTCGTGTGACGTTATTCAATGGCGGCACGTCAAACAATGGCTCGTCAGGGTGGAGAGGAGGCATTGTTGCCAAATTGCCGAAGGCTTTCCACGGATGAATTACTGATTGCACACGCTTCCCGTTGGTACAAATGAAACAAAACTTCACATAGTTGTCTTAACCTCGAAGAAACCCGATGGAAGAATTAAGGATGAATCTGGAAGCATAAGAAACCCGATGGAAGGATTAAGGATTTATCTGTGGTAGGGCCACGCAGCGGTCTTCGCTGTTGCACGGATCGGTCGGTCCGGGAAAGTACCACGAGGTCACAAAAGACCGGCGTGAAGTGGAAGTTTTATACTTCTTCATTTGTCTGGTGAGTACGGTATCCGGGGCCTACTTTATTTTAAAGTGGCAAGCATCTGCTGTATGTTGCAAACGTCAATGAGCTGCGGTTATCACTTAATATTAGGTAAAGCGACACCTTGCTTGCCACATTCTCACATAAAAAAATTAGACCACCGTTCCTATTAAAATCACACCAACAAAGCTTACAAGAGCATATCTTTCCTTTCAAAGAATAGAAGATCCTAAAGGTCTTCAAATGGAGTGGGCGCACACTGATAACATAATAATAGACGTGTGCTATAATAAATCTTCGAAACTACACTTTGGCGGGAAAGCGTTCTAGTCCAACTATCACGTTCAGAAGCAGATTGCATGAGGGGTTATTATCATCATCATCATTTCAGCCTGTTTGAGTCCACTGCTGAACATAGGCCTCCCTCACACACTACCACGAACCACGATCCCGAGCCACGATTCTGAGCAGTAAGAGGCTGAATCCATTTTTCGAATCTCGTAGATGCAAAACGTTTTTTTTTTAGATTAAATTACTCGGTGAAATCATTATGGTACAAGGTAACATCTATGGCTAGCGTTAAAAAGTCATTAGTTTTATTAAACAATCAAAAACGTTTCCATTGAAATCCTACAGCGTTGTCCACAACTGCGTCCACGCTATAATCTGGTTAATCCTCGTTAATAGGTACGGCAAGCGGTCGAAAAAACAAACTCGCACGTGGGTACGAATGTGTTGACTAAAGTGGTTTTATGCGAGCGAATTCAAAGGAGATTTGTCGCGGCCGTCAAAAAAATATCAACAAGCACGAGAGGGATCAGCCCTCTGAGGGTTCCGTATAAACAAAAATTAGCGTTTCTTTGATTTTTACCTCTAGTTTAATCCTACGTTAATATAAATTGGAAGTTTACTACAAGTTTTGATGGGTAAATTCGCACATAAACAAATATGTTACTAAATGGCCGAATCCCATTATTCCATTATCATTAATACACCACGAACGGGCCATTTATTTTTCCGAATCTGGTCTAGAGATGTATAGCTAGACAGACTAACAACAAAGTAGTCCAAAAGCAGTTCCGTTTTTACCATTAGAGGTACGAAACCCTAAACAAGCGAATCAACAACAAAGGGCTGGGCGTTTTTTTTGAAATCGCTAATGGATCGACTCGGCCCTCGCCCGTTACGTGGACGTTTAATCCATCATAAAAACCGGCAGGAGGGTAGCGAGGGGGCGGGCACAGGGGGAGGGGAACAACAAGTGAGGAGAACGGTTAGCACAGATAATAATGGTTGTGTTGACGGAACGGGATTAAAAAAAATAACGCGCGTTCACCTCGTGACACCGTTAACTTGACCTATTTGCCCAATGTCGCCCACATTGGGACAAAATTTTCTTTCACGACCATGCAAATTACCAATCCGTCGCTCAGGTTTTCGCGTACCTATAAGCCTTGGTTGGCCAGTTGAAGCGACCGCAGTTAGACACTGCAAGCCTTGCCCAATGAGAATCCAGGACTTGTATGACACGCGACTGAGTTAGTCGGCTATCCCACGAGTGCAATCAATGATTACAAGCGTCGCTGTTTTCAAGGCAAGCAAGAGTTTGCTTTTACTGTGTTAGGGCACTTAACACCTACGACCAAACGGCATGCATCAGGACGGATTGGACAGAGAAGCACTCCTAACAGAAACGAATGTATGCTTCAGGTATACTTGAATACCAGATGTCAAGCAGCGATGTTTTCGGTAGTAGTACTTTATAAGCATATTCACGCTTGCCTTGATGATGTTGAATTCGGATGAAAAGACGCAGTACTATATTATACATACATAGGTAGATATAGATATATGTATGCAGGTTTGGATTGTATGTGCTGTAAATGTAAACACTGGTCTCTTCGATTATCACAAAATTTTATTCTTCAAGAATAAAATATTAAAAAACTTCCGCTCGGCGTGGGAGGAAGCAGCAGAAACATGAAAAATGTTGCCATAGACACGCATGTATCTGTAATGTTGGCAGTGTTGCCATATGAGCGCATAAATAACATTGCAGGTGGGATGTAACACGACCCGTTCCGTTTGTGATGCGAAGTTAAAAAAACGTCCATTACGCGACTATTAAAAGACAAAGCGACGAGCCCGGTTTCGTAATATGATTGTTATTGCGATTTTTATTGGCGGCGTGGAATCACATATGTTATGTCACACGTGAAAACGTGCATTCCGTGAGTCATACAACTTTATCGCGAGCGCAAACTCGAGGACGTTTTAAATATAGACGCAATGTCGCCGATAACTGTTAATTCGACAATGAGCAATTAACAATTAACGTACAACGATTCATATTTCCACACTCTTTTTTACGGTGGTAGGGCCACGCTGCCTCGGCTGTTGCACGAATGGGCAGTTTCGTTCGCGTAAGTAACACGACCTCATAGAAAACCGGCGTAAAGTGGAAGTATAGTCCTTTGGGGTTAGTCTGGTGAGGAGGCCGGAGCCCAATTTTCAAATTCATCTAGTTAAATATGAAACAACAATCTATTAAATACAAATAGGGTTTGGCGTTGTGGCAGACAAAGGGCAAAAGGATGGAAAAACTATAGCCCCATTTACACTTGTAATACAAAGCCTATATCTTAGTTGTACCATTTCGTACTGTAGTAGACAACGATATTATATACAAATACGAGGTAGATATGGCACCAGTACACCGAAACTGGGGCGTAACTCAAATTACGCCAATTGGTGTCATTAGATAGCAATTCTATAGACTGCTACCTCTTTCCGTATCAAACGTTATCTGTCACATTCAGTTATACATGTCATATAATGTAAAACAGAACAGTTTTTAAGTGCCGCGCAGTATGAACAGGCGTCATCTCTATTGTTAAACATTACTGGTGGTAGAACAAATACAGCTTACGTAACACTTCCTACCCTACCTTACCGGCGAAGTAATACGTCCACAGAACCTGATTAAAGTCTATGCATTCATAGTAATGCCTTTCACCCAGTAAGTGATAAGTTTGAAGACCCACAAACAAACACAGTCATTGATGGCTGCAAGCCTGACGTATCCTTGGTGTAGTAAACGCGCAAGGGAATGCTTACCATGTGGTATTAAAAGTATTTTATTACACTATATTATATTACCCAGTTTATTAAAAGGTGGCAAAACATCTGCAACCCTACGGGTGTTGCAAATTACAAGAACCGCCAGCTCGCCTTCTCACATAAAAAGGAATACAACCAATGCCATCCCTAAAAATAAAAAAGCCAAACCATCAAGCAGTATACAGATATGATGTTAATCAAGAACAGATTTCTATTACCTCGGACCAAAAAAGTTAGGAGCGCCGGCAAGAATGCATTTGAGCGTTGAAAATGATGTCAGTAAATTAGCATACAATGGGAATATTAAAACAGCTCTTCAAAGCGTGTCTTCTTGTTGATAATGGACGACAAGATACTGACATTGATTTAACAATAAATACCTACGTAGCAGCAAAACGAATAACTGTTAATGGAAAATTTAACCGTAAAAAGACCGTTTCTATTTAATTAACTTCCGCGATACGATTAATTTGGTCTTTATAAGAAAAGATTCAGTTAGCTGATATTGCGAAATGAACAACGTTTATTTTTGTATAGAATCAAATCATTTGCATAATAGAATGGTTCAGGTTTAACATTCCGCGTTAGGTAACCCTGACTGTTTGTAAATTTTGGTCACGCAGTACAACTATAACTGACAATTTTTTAACTGAAATATCTGTTTCATATGAGGTGATAAGCAAGCGAGGGGTTTGCCTGTTCTTTAATAATAATAGGGTCCCGTTTTACCCTTTGAGTACGGAAACCTAAAAACTGATCATATAGAACCTAATGGTGTAAAATCTGTCTTGTAGGCCATTGTGCAAATAGTTTTTTTTAAATAATCAAACGTATATACGCTAATGGACCTATAGAGCAATGAGGCTGTCTGAGAAATTTGCCGACTAATGAACGCATTGCGAAGTACACAAGACCCATAAGGGGTCGCTAATATAACAGAAATTCGATTACACTAACTATGGAGTAAATGACTAAAATGGAACAGAAGCCTTAGGCTGAAGTCTTACGTGTCAAAATTCCTCATCATCATGATCCCGCCCTTATCACACCTGTGTGGCCAGCACGACATATTTTATTTATTTTATTGTTGTAACAAAATCCACAGCACTTTTTTTAAAATATATCTAAATCTTATTACTAAACCTTAAAGCCAATTTGGATTTACATTATTCTGCTAAATAATTTAAATTACGACAGTAGAAAACATGAAAACTTTGACTATGATTTTTACGACCGGCCGCCTACCTGACATCAACACTCCACAAACACCCAGATACTGAACAATTATCTGTGCATAACACAAATACTTGCGTGATTGCTCAATACCTGTGTGATTCAAATCCACAACGGCGCGGCGCCGAAACCAATAGTGCGTCAAAATTATTTTGATCAAAATATACGAACGGTATTTAGGCCAATTCCATATTCCACAAACATCTACAGCACAATGAAACACAGATGAAAACAATTTCTTTTTTTTTATATTCTTTTTATACGGATCACAATGTGATATTCAACGAGCATGCTTAACAATTTGACAAAAACCGAGAAGGCAAAGTCAATAGAAATGCTATCGATGATGCGATGATAATAAAGCGGACGACAAGGCAGATAAGTCACGTTGAATACTACTGAGCAATATCTTGAAAATTACTAGACGTGATGTTATAACTGTTTCGTAATGTATTAGATATCGAAATTGAGAAATATTCTACTTAAGAAGCATATAGTTTACGTTCGTTTAAGGCTTTAAACTAAACTGAAACATTTTAACTCTAATTGAGAAAATTTTGATTGAAATATCGGTTCATATCAATCCTACCTTCGTTCTATAACACCACGTTGATTGCTTTGCGAAGTTAAGTAAAATCACAAATAAACTGTAGCAAAATTATTATAAACAGTGTATCAAGCGATTCCGTTACCACACTTAATTTACCTTGGTTAAACTATTTACGTAAAGAATTTGTGGATTTGGCTCAAAAGCAACAATGCATATGCAACAACAGGAATTAGAAAGTGAAAGTATCGTCTATACGAATTGTATAACAAGAAATTTCGCCATGACGAACCATTGCTTGTTATTAACCACTTGTATGTTAAATAATATCATGTCAATGTCTTCTTATAAAACTAAAACTACTTGATAATTTCTTAATTACAAATGTCACTTCACTAATATTTTATTACTAAGCTCACACATATTTATATTTCACTGAATATACCCACTCATCTTCACATTTTTTCCGAATAAATAAAATCTGCCATACGGAAATTTTGCAATTTTTGCTTTACGTCGTATCAGACGGATAACTGACTATGTATCAGCCAAATTAGTATATTATTCATAGTTCCACATCGCCATGACATGATATATTTCTGTAGGGATCTGCACACGGCTTAGACATGACATTTATAATAAAGCTCTTTCCTATATATTTGAATTATATTGTAAAGCACAATGACATACGTGATCCTCAGTTATTTGGGAGCGGATTATTTATTTATTTAAAAACTTTTTGCTCAATAGCGTACCCTGGCGGACTAAACACCATTAGGTGTTCTTTACCAACTAACCGCTTCAGTTTCCCGCCTCGGAAGGCCATATACATCATGGATATCCCATGTAAAGTGAGCCCTTCCCTAGCTCTTTTGAAGCTCTGTAGTACCGCCCTCAACTCCGCGAACCCAATATCGCCGTTTTAGCCTCCTTATACAACAGCCACTTCCACAGTCTTATTCTATTAGGCCGTGACTACAGGTCTAGCGCTAACAAAGTCCATAGCTACGGCTTACTTTACTATATGTTATACTAGCTGTTAAACGCGGCTTCCCCCGCGCGGTCAAAGGCGATTAACAATCAGTTTTTTTATTATACACCTGAATAACTCGCAGATGGCAGAATTTTTTCCTACTTACTTGACACTTATTGACATATTTTGGATAATAATTCACATAACATCTATATTAATAATAGCCTATGTGTTATTCTGATGTATAAGCTATATTATTGTAAAGTTTCATTAAAATCCATTCATTAGTATTTGCGTGAAAGAGTAACAAACATCCATCCATAGTAAGGATTTTGTCGTCGTATATCGTTTGCTAAAACGGAATAAACATATTTGATCGCAGGTCTCGTCCGTTCTTTGGACAGGTCGAACTGTTGACTTAGTTGTTACGTTGATAAATGCCTCATAAAACCCGAACAATGTAATGAAAAAAATATGTTGTTTAGACGTAGATCGATAGAGCTTTCCAACGTCTTTCAGATTTGGAAATGTATTTTTAAGTATTTCTTTTCATTGACGTAGCTATTTATGAAAATAGCTTTAAGAATATCTCAAGCAATAAGTTTCAATTCAGTTCAGCAATATTTCCACGCGTTACAAGCTTTTGTTGGAGAGATATTGGATTATTTAAATGAGAGGACATAGTTTTTCAATTTGAATTGCTGTGGCATCGTTCAAGCCAATAGATGGTATCCGCATTCACTTCCGCCTGTAACTCGCACCGGAACTAATCCCGAGCTGGACCGCCCTTCTGCAGTGCCTGCAACTTAACAGGCTGTGGGGCGAGCGAACAAGGACGGACACGTCGCATAAATAGACCTGACACTTATAGCGCGACGGTTATTAATATTCCGCGTCTATTTGTTGCCAGCTCTGTCGGCGTTTGCAACTGACGCCTTTATTTATATCGCGGCTGTAGGCACAATATCTGTCAGATACTCCGACACTTACTGTCAGGGGGATTGCGGATGAATGTTCGTTGGGCGACATTGTTTATGTGTGGTTTAACTCGTCCATCAATTTACCGAGATACAGATGGTACTTTTTTAACTGGGACAATAAAGGCAAATCTAAACCTAGATGCAATCGCCTCACGACCCATTCTTTATCCGTAATTTGTTTTTATTATTGTAACTTCGGTACACTAAACTACACACTTGGGAAACAGATTTATTTAGAATGCATATTTGCTCAAAAGATTGGTACGAGGTACAGGATAATACCAGACGCAACATGGCCTATATAGCAGTGGTTGATTCAGCCAAATATAAAATATAAGGTTGGTTTCCTCTCACTGTCCAGCTAGTGGTAAGCGACTCTTTACTTCCATATCCCCATAAAAAAGTCCCTCTGTATATGCCTACTTCTTATTATGTCATCATCAATTTAAAACAATGTTTGCACAATAAACGCGCTTGGGAAATCGTTCAATATCACAGTGATCATATAATTAATTGGTTAATATACGCCCTATAACCACGAGAAACAGAAACTTAAAGATGCTTCGTTGTTCCATATGGTCTTTTGTGTGTCTTCATTCGTTTAAAAAGCAAGAACCCGAGTGATTTTTTAGTATTCTTTCTTATAGACAGCGATCAAAAATTCAAAATAAATACGCAAGTGCGATTCTTGATCCATATAGGCCGTAGAAGTATGCCTTCGTATGATTTGGATTTTTCCATGGTCACACGAAAAGCGACATCACAGAAAACTGCTTTTCTCAACGTCAAAGCTGTTTTAAAAGACAATTTGAATTTCTGATTCAAATTATCGATATTACAAGATATCGATCAATATGAAATTCAAATTGCAATTTCCTGTAAGCTCTTAATTACAATAACCGAGGCCAAGGATGTGTGGAAATGACTCTTGCTCTGCACTTGCAAGACCCTGGCTGCTGCTGATTTTATACCTAAATAAGTTAATAATAGTGTATAATTGCATCACAAAAAAAATTACGAATAGAACGAGACCGCAGAATTTCTTGCCGGTTCCTCTCTATGCAGGTCTAGGTTAGTGAACCGGTGGTAGATTTCTTGTTGACGTTCAATAAGAGCCTAAGTTAAGCCTATATTGAATAAATATACTTTGACTTTGACCTTGACTTTGAAGCGACAACTCGACAGACGAGACGAATTTTCGGTCCGAATAAAAGATTAAAATCTATCGCGTGTTTTAATGGTGTCATCGCACGCCTTTTGCCACATTTTGAGGTAGACTTCTTCATTAATTTTTCAAGACGCGCCAAAGCGTTTTAAAAAATTATGAGAGTAAAATCCGCGTATCCGCACTTAACATGCAATATTAACATGACAACCAATAACAACTTTTTGGAGAATTTTTCAAGACGCGCCAAAGCGTTTTAAAAAATTATGTGAGAGTTAAATTTTTACGAAGCGCGCGCACCGACCCCTAAAACCCAAAAAGCGACATGATGCTTGGTAACCAATAACAACTTTTTGACATTTACCAATAATTCTAAATAAACTGTTATCAATTTAATGTTACGCTAAAGAAGTATAACTTCTTACGTGCGTACATAAGTACACACATAGTTTTTTCTTTTCAATAAAGTGTATATATTTCTTTTCGACGTCTAATGTGCCAGTGAGATGCGATGCATGGAGGTAGAACGGCCGCATCATTTTTTTTCTTTTCAATAAAGTGTGTATATTTCTTGTCAACGTCTAATGTGCCAGTTAAATGCAATCCAAGGAGGTCATAGCTTCAACACTTACTTCGACAGAGAGCTTTGACATATCGACAGGCGTGATCCGCTTGAGGGCCGAGAGGCGCTGCAGCCGCTGCCTCGCCTGCTCCTCCACGGCGATGAGGAACGCATCCTGGACGATGTTGTGCCCGATATCCGAAACTGGAACAAGCGGACACAGTTAGACAAGTTTATGACCTTAGTTTCTGGGACAACATCAAAACATATATCTTTTGGGTCAGAAGCATGAGCGTGGCTTAATAGTATCGTCAAAAAAGTAATAAAACTCGTTTGAACCTATAAAGATCAACGTTCACGAAACTTAGTTATTTTATCAATCGTTAGCTAATAGTATCTTAATTTGCTAAAAATAATAAACGCTGAAGCAACGACAGTAACCGGTCGTTTAACTTTCGTTTATAATACCTAACTGTTTAGTACAAAGCCTTTTCTTCCTTTTATTTCATGATTGTTAGATATTTTGAGAATGTGGCAAGCTAGTTGGCGGTTCACCTGATGTTAAGTGATAACCGCATCCCATGGACATAAGCACCACCCGTAAGTTAGCAGATGCGTTGCCACCTTTCAGTAAAGAGGTCTCCGGATACCTCATTCACCAGACGAAAGGCAGAAGTATGACTAGTCTTATGTGAGATAACCATATTTATATAAAGAGACTGATACCAAGATAATATGGTTATCATCTTGGTATCAGTCTTTTATATGTATAAACAAACTTAAGTTTTTTACGAAAGACGAGCAGACGGTTCACCTGATGTTAAGTGAATACCGCCGCCTATGGACATCTGCCACACCCGAGGGTTACAGATGCGTTGAAACCTTTTGAAAATTGGGCTCCGGCTACCTCACTCACCAGACGAAACGCGAAAGTAATTGTCATACTTCGACTTTACACTGGTCTTCTGTGAGGTCGAGTTACTTACCCGGACGGGCCAGCCCATTCGTGCAACAGCCGAGGCTGCTGCGTGGCCCTACCACCGTATAAATCAGTAAAATATAAATCACCGTATAATCAGTGGAACTCAAATTATTTTATCGTCATCAAGGCAGGAGTCAACGGGGCATTAACCTATGAAGTTTACTTTACGGCCTCATGTCACTTTTAGGTGGGATTGATTAATTAAGTAACGGTCTAAGGTTTAAAAAAAAATGCGAGCAACACCCGAACAACGAACACGCCACGCCGACTCATCGGAGTCGCCTTACATAACCGCCAACCGCGAACCTATCACAATTCAAATTCAGGCGACGCCACCGCATTCCGCTGGAGTCGTGACTCGGGAGCCATACATAGGCCACAAGCCGCCACCCGACTATTGTCCTTAAGATGATACAGCGTTATCTATAATTGCTTGCGCTATCCGATTAACGGCGAACGGACCCGCGTTGACGACCGTACCGCGACGCCTTCCCACCGAGATGCAGACGGAATCGCAATGACAAAATGGCGGATACACACTAGCGTTCGCTAAGTCGTACTAATCGCCCACGCATCTCTTCCAAACGAGACTAAATCGCACAGTGATTTAAGAAACATACATTTCATCCATCTATAGTCATTTTTTTTAATCTACCACCGTTTCGTAATGAGGTATCTATAACAGAAAAGAAACAAGCGAAAGAAACTCCGTAGGCATCCTCTCTTGTCATTTTTTTTCTCAAAAACATTGACATTACATTAAAATATTAAAAATATTTTTTTTAGAAATAGCTTGGGAGCGATCTACTCACACCCAGGGGTATTGACTTTAATAGATTCATTTATATTAAAATAACCCTTTTAAAAAAGTTTTTCTTTAACAAATTTTTTTAACCTGTTAATAGGCAGGCTTTGCGCATTTACTGGGATCTCGATTTCTTAACGGATTATTAAATCGCAAGCTTTATTTGGTAGCAAAACTTTAAGCTGAGATTTTTACCGTGATTATTGTTTTATCGGGTACGGTTATATTGATTTTGAAAACTTATGTGTTAACTGCAAAATTAATGGTGAGAATTTAGGTTTGGTGAGCATATCGCGAACAATTTTTTATATATAAAAATATTTGCAATAACATTAATCAATCTAAACCCTATATTATATATTCCTTCTAAATATGAAAAATACTTCAAATAAAGATACATTCAGTCGTTAACTGCACGCTTATGTACCTATGTCTGAACACTAACCAGCTGAATTTATGACCGAAAGCGATAAATTTCAAACGATTCCTCTCGTTAAATAAAACTATTTTGCGGATTTTATCGCGGAAATATAGCCCGCACGTGACGGAGGATAGTTAAATTGTTCAAACTCTGTGAACTTAACAATAAAAAGGAAACAAAATGTTCACTCCTCCATTTCACTTTCTTATATTAATGTGTGCGCTTAGTAAATACAGGAACTCATTACTATTATTTCCTTTCGAGTAGCAGTCAAACCAAGTTAGAACGCAACACGACACCTCCCGTATGGAAATGCCTTTACTCGTACACCTTCGGAATAGAAGACGGTGCGAGTTATTCACAACAATTTTACACACCACGGGATGTTTGCGGTAAATCTTATACTGACCAAGTGACCATAGCTTGCGCAATCGACGCCCGGTTTCTGAAACACTGAAACTTAACAACTGAAACATCTTAGAAATTAACTAATCAGCTGTTGTGTAGTAATTAAGAAGATCATTTTGATCAATTCAGAGTGTTAAACCATCCTTTTGGCAACTCAAATGATATTTGATAAGCCATTTGACAGCTGATTAGTTAATATCTACGATGATCAGTGTTTCAGAAACCGAGCGCGAGTCCCAGCCACAGCGGCCGGGCTTTTAAACCCATGTTATCATTATTTAAATGATAACACACCCTGGAAATGAAGTGATCGCTCCAGGCTCTTTCAAGTTGATTTTAATACATTTGTAAACACGTCTTTATTTGATAAACAATGGTAAAAAAAAAAGAAAGTCCCGCTGAGTTTCTTTCATCGGTACTTCTCACCGGCTTTTCTTTCCGAACCCGTGGCAGCGTTATGATAATCAATAAGAAAGTGTAATTTATAATAGAGCAAACTTAGTTTAAGTCCCGGTGGCGGCACCAATGCAATTACTAAATACAAGCTTAAGTGCTGACTTGTCACGTGCTAAGGGGTGAGACACCGGAATACTCTCGAAATAATAACCAAAAAAAACATTCCAATATACTTTATCTTTATGCCAATCCGCGGTGCGGCCTCGTGGTGGACTATGCCCTAATGCGCTCTGTAACCTCTCAACATGAGGTCTTTGGACAACAGACACTTTTGGTACATATATAAAATATTTCTTTACTTTCCATTTATTTTGATTAACTAAATTATTATTTTGTTAGTTACAACATATATCAAAACTGCATCACCATCCACAATGCCAAATGCCAATAATAGTGAAAACAGCAAACAAACGAATTTAATGTTTTTGGCGCTAACTGAATGCGATCATCAGACTGTGAATTTGAATTTTGACATTTTTGAGTCACAATGTGAAACAGGCATTAATAAAATATTCAGTCTCTAAATTAGGGCGATTGTGAGCTATATACCCCTAAATCAGTTTACCCATAAGAGTGTGGTACAATCCATCTAGTGTTTTATGTGTCGTGTAAGCTTAATTAAGTTTTGTAGGATGTCGTTAAATATTATTTTAAAAACAAATAAAAGGGAACTACGGCTGAAGATCGCGGAACGTGGTAAAAGATGAATCTCTCTCCAAACGTTTATGAGGAAAGTGTGCATTTGTATGTATGTACGAGTATGTGCGGATGTGAAATAACCATTCTTTCCTTCGCAGTTGTAAGGAAACGGAATCACCACCCACGGAAACAGAGGCAATCTTGAATAAAACGGTATAATTTTTGACCGCGAACGCTCTAGAGGTCAATTGTCTTGCAATTTCTTTGTAATGGCGTTTATAATTTTTCAAGGGCAAAGAAGAGGTCAAATGAAGCTTTTAAGTGGAGGCTGGTGACGCGGCAGATGCATCATTTCAACCCGTGGTTTGTTGGAACAAATATGAAAAAAAGAACTTCACATTCTCTGATATAAAAACAAAAAAAAATGAAGAAAAAACACCATGCCAAATTTGTGTCACTGAGAAAAAAGGGAAACGTTTTCACCCTGAGGAAACCTGCTGGTTTAATATGAAAAATCAAAAATCTGTTGTGAAAAGTGTGAATAACTCTGAATTAGAAATTTAACTAAATAAGGAGAATCCAAAAAACTAGAAGTACCACCATTAATAAAAGTAAATTTATTATTAAATGACACTTTAAAAGTTACTGCAATTTATGATTCAGGCTCAAATGTGTCGTTAATTAATGCAAAATTATTGAAAATACATGAAAAAGAAGAAGATACACTTAATCAACAAACAGCAAACTTGAAAATTATTAATGGTGAGAAGAAAACAAAAGGTATGGTAACATTAAAAATAAAAATATATAACATTGAAAGAAGTATGAATATTTTTGTGGTAGATAATGAAAATTTTCATTATGATTTTCTCATTGGTTTGGATTGCATAAAAAAATTTAAATTAATCCAAACTGAAGAATTAAATATCTTACAATGTAATAATCCACACAAGGAGATTAAAGTCCAAAATAAAGAGGACAAAAATAAAGACTCCGAAATGAGTATTTCCAATTTAATGAATGTCGAAATTCCTGATGTACTAGGTGACAAAAATGAAGAAGATGTTTCTCTATACACTGAGATACGGAAACAAGAAATAAACCATATAAACAGATGTGAAGTAAATTTCAACGAACATATTAACTTCAGTCAATTTGAAATTTCAGTAAACCATTTAAATTTATGTAAACAAACTGAAATTGATAAATTAATAGAAAAATACAAAGCAGTTTTTGCTAAGGATAAATACGACGTTGGTACAGTACGAGGTTATGAAGCTCACATAGACTTGATAATAGATAAATATTGCTACAAACGCCCATACAGATACACAGCTGATGATAGAAAAGAAATTGAAAATCAAATATCAAAACTATTGAAGAACAATTTAATTGATTAATCATATAGCCCTTTTGCTGCTCCAGTTACTCTGGCATTTAAAAAAGAAGATGGAAAAAGAACAATATTGTGTATAGATTTCCGAGAATTGAAT